TGCTCATGTCAATGACATGCATGTTGCTGCCTAATAGTCATTTTCATCCTTATTTTACTTCTGAACAGCATTTGATAGAACTGATCATCACGTCTTCCTTTATAGACTTTCCTCACTCAGTTTTCAGGATACAACATACGCCTGCGCCACTGGTAATTCTTTTTCATCTCACTCAGCTTGCTACTTCTCTTCTCTGATCCCTTAACGTGAGGGCTCAGCTCTCGGTCTTCTCATCTTCTCTCTATACATTTCCTCTCTTGGCCACCCAGATCAAAAAATGAGCAATATCATTCTTGAATACACTGAATACTCACAATAAAAATATGAACAAGTGTTGGTGAGGAGATGGAGAAATTTGAACTCATATGCATTGTTGGTGGAGTATAAGATGGTGTGGCCCCTTTGGAAAACAGTTTTGTAGTTATTAAAAAATTATACATAGTGTTACCACTTGACCCCAAAATTCTAGTCTTAAGATATATACCCAAGGGAATTGAAAACATATGTTCACACAAAAACTTATACATAAATGTTCATGGTAACATGATTCATAAGAGCCAAAAAGTGGAAACAACCAAAATGACCATCAACTGATGAGTGGATAATCAAAAGGTGGTTCTATCTACTCAATAGACTACTATTCAGCCATAAACAGGATTGACGAACTGATACAACATACAACAAGGATGAATCTAAAGAGCATTATGCTGTTTTGAAGAAGCTAGACAAAAAAGCATGTATTGCATGATTTTATATGTGAAATGTATACAATAGGCAAGTCCTTAGAGACAGAAAGTACATCAGTATTTTTCAAGGGCTGAGGAGAAGAAGAAATGGGGAATGACTGCTACTGAAAATGGGATTTCTATTTTGATGAAAATACTCTGTAATTGGTGATGATGGTTACAATAACCTTGTGAATATACTAAAAACAACAGAATTGTACACTTAAACTGTGAATTTTATGGTACCTAAATTATATCTTAATTAAAAAATAAAAACTACAAGGCTTTGAGCTTCCATTCCATAGTTTACATGTACAGGACCAGCATCCTGGGCTAGATTTATTACTACAGATGACTGGATCTGTCTTTGAGGTTCATGGAAGTCAATCAATAAGGAAACCATCCTGGATTAAATAGTTCATACATGACAAATGAATTCTGAAGTTAGAAACTTTGTCCTGGGAATACATGTTAGGAAAAATTATGATGTAAATCTTATATCAGGGGCTATTAGGTAATACAATAGATGCTGTCTTTGCGGTTTTGCCTAAGACACAGAAACATTCTTTGGAAGGATGTCTTCTATTGACCAACTCTAAAGGATTAGGGCATAGAATCAAATTGCAACTAACTCTATAAAGGAATTTTTGCCAAAATAGTATAGCCTATTTCCAGATGATCTAACTTTTATAAAGATAAGCTGATGAGGCCAAAAGACCCAAAGAATCACATTTCCTTAGACCAACTTCCCCAAATACCAGATGTCTCAACTGAACATTTGGCAAGCATTAGGAGGCAGTCTAAATTCTGATTTGTATTGCTGATTAAATAAATGTCCATATGTTTTTGATACTGGATACGCAGGTAGCAAAGTCAATACACTGTCATGAGAATTTCGGGGCTTGATTTATACCCTTATACAGTCAAAGAGCCATCATACTTCCAGCTGGGGTGAACTCCAGAGGTACCTGCAGATGGAGCTAAAACGTCTTCCAGCTTCAGAAGAGAATTCTGAGTCCTCTCAGTTGGACGAACACTTAGTTGAGAGTCCAGCATTTCTGCTGTTAGGCATGGAAAGCATAATCTTGGTCTGAAAAAACTCTACGTGCAGGTGTTTTTAATCAACTGCTTCTATCATGAAAGCATTTCAATAGAATCTCTGCAAAACATGTCGCTGGTGTAGATCTGCGTTTTTAACAAACTAGCTCCAAGTAGATGAATGACCTATTTGGATTTAAGGTATGTTTGTTTTGGATACTATAGTACAGTGCTTTTCTCTACAAATGTTTACTGAATGAGTGAATGATTTAATGAATCTATATTATATTATCAAGGTAATATTAGAGTTGAATATTTTTCTTATACAATTTTAATAGGAATGCCAAGCTATAAGTGAAGCTTTCTCAGATGACAAAAAGATTTTCCTTTTAAAAACTGATTGATTACTGATATGTCTTCCCCATTATGTTATAAGCTCTTTGATAATGTTATTCACCTTTGCATCCTCCACACAGTGCCTACTCCTGTGCAAGGTCCATAAGCAGATGCTCAAAAAACAATAGGAGAAAGATATGGAATAGAATTAATTGGGATTGTTTTTTACACTTCAAATTTTGGACGCAGAGTCTGTTCAGCAGTACCAAAGCAGGTCCGTGGAGTGGATACTCCACCCCAGAAGCTAAAGGAGGACAGCTCTTTCCTCTCTCCTCCCTCTGACAGCTGGAGTACAGGTCAGTGACTAGTCACAGCCAAAGAGACCTTAGTAGCAGGGACTTTGAATCTGGAGGGAATGACTCAAAGATGCAGGATTACTTAAGTGTTAATTTGAAATACCAGTGGCAGAACTGTGAGTCTGCAACACAGCAACTGGTCTCCAAGCATAGAGGTAACCTTACGCAGCTTCCTAAGTATCCTAGTCCCATGGTAAGAATTTGGCCTTGTCTTGCCAATGATCTTTATTCCTGCCCCAGCCTGACTTTCCAGGTATCTGTCAATTCATGAGCCACCCATGTAAACTGAAGAGTAAATTCAAAGGCAATCCAAAAGTATATTAAAAAAGAAACCTAATATTACCTTTTGTACTCACTTTCTTGGAAGATGAATCACTTCTTACCCATTAACTCAGGCAAATAACAATTATATTTTTTCAACCATACTGCTCTCTCTCAAATTTTTCTAGCCCTCCTATGATACACAGTTATCTTTTAAAAAATCCAAATGTCTATCTAGGTTTTAAATATCCAAGATATTGCAAAAATTTTCCCACTATGTTAAAGAAATGAAACAATGGAGTAAAGAGATTTTTAAAACTCCTATATATACACAATAGCCAAAAGCAGGAACCACTAAAGTGACTACTTCATCAATGGATCAAGAGATTTAAAATAAGGGGCTTCACTGGTGGCTCAGTGGTAAAGAATCTGCCTGTCAATGCAAGAGACACTGGTTCTATCCCTGGTCCAGGATGATCCCACGTGCTGTGGAGCACATAAGCCCATGCATCACAGCTACTGAGCCTGCGCCCCGGGCCTCGGAGCTGCAGACAGTGGGTCCACGTGCTGCAACCATTGACGCCCGAGCGCTCGGGAGCCCAGACTCTGCAACGAGAGAAGCGCTGCAACGAGAAGCCTGCGCACAGCAGCTGATGAGTAGCCCCCACCTTCCACAACCAGAGAAAGTCCATGCAGCAACGAAGACAGAGCACAACCAAAAATAAAGCTAGGTAAAGCAATTTTTAAAATGTGGTGTATCCACACAATGGAATATTATTCCACCATAAACAGAAAGCAAGCACTGACACATGGATGCATGAAAACATTATGCTTAGTGAAAGGATTAAGATAATGATGAGGTTTCCACAACATTGTAAATATACTAAATGCCACTGAATTGTACACTTTAAAGTGGCTAAAATGGTGAGTTTTATGACATGTGTTTTATCACAGTAAAAAATTTAAATTAAATATCCCCAAAATTAGGAGAAATATAAACCAGAATATTTTAAACCTGATTCCTTCTGTTTACAAGAAAACATAATGGCTTGTCAAAAGAATTTCTGGTTATAAAATCTCTGTAGTTCCAACTTTCCCTTCGAACTCTCAGTGGAGTTGTGTCATTATGTAATCAGGTTTCCGTATTAAGAAATTACCTTGTGTCTGGCGAGAGGAAAGTAAAGCTCTTCCAAAACGCATTTAATTTATCTCTGATTACAATCACAACTCTTCTCATTTAGACACAATGAGGAAGTTGTGAAAATGAAATACAGTTTAATGGATCTTGACAAATACAATTTTTCCACTCTGGCAAAGTTTAAAGCCCTCTTATTACAACAGTTACTCAATTTCCCAAAGATGTGGGACTTCACATAGGAAAAATGGGCTGAAGATGCTGGTATTTACATAATTCTTCAAACTGGGGTAACAAGAATGTGCTGCAGGTTGCTACCCCATAATTGGATGGCTCATTATTGTAAAATATTTCAAGTTTGCTCAGTGGAATACAGGGAAATGACACTGACTTGGTCTTTTACTCTAGAATTTTATAACTCCTTTATCTTTTTATTTCTATCATTTCTATATTTTCCCCAAACCTCACATACATCATCAGTAAAAGAAAAAAAATGTGTGTTTACATGTTTAATTGTATAAACACACACACACTCACACATATATTATAAGACCTTTCAATTATTGTTTTCTAATCCCAATAGAACTGGAAAAGAAAGACTTACATACCAAGAATCCAACTTTCAAAGTATTGATTTCAGTGTGTGTGTATCAAAGCGAGAGTGACTGTCTTTTCATTCTAAGAAGCAAAAATGGTGATCTCTTACCTGATTTATATTTTCTGCAATACACTAGGGTAAACTGAAATACCAGCGACTTCAAGTTCTATTTCTCAACTTATTGAAAAATGTGTGTTGCATAAAAAGGCATTCTCAATAACCTCTTAGGGGGAAAACTGCAAGATTTCCCCATCAGATTCCTCGGAAGAAACCATCTTAATTCTTTTATAAATAGCAAAAGCAATTTCATTTCAGAAGTCCTTAAAATGCATGACTTCATTTACTTTTAGAGGCTTTATTAAAGTAGGTTTTCACCCCACACTCTTCAGAGCAGGTGCCTGTAATAAAAACAGTCCTCTCACCTGATCCGTTTCCTGTGCTTTCTGGGTGTGAGAGCACTAACTCACCCTGAATTCATAAGGAAGATATCATTGCCAAGTTCCACGAAGCCCTCTGAGAAATTCATCAGGGCTACAAACTACTGACCTTACCCTAAACCCATCTGCTTGCAGGCCAGCTGACTCAGGGTCTCCTGCCAGCCATCTGCACACACGTGGCGTTCCACGGCAGATCTGTGAGCCATCAGGAAGGAGGAGGAGTTCGCGTTTGCAGAGAGGGTCACTGAGCGGGGAAAAAAGCAGGGGAACTCTAATTTAAAACATCTCTTCTCACGAAACCACATGACAGCATGCCTTTATTTCACTTGCAGACATTCATCGCTATTTCTTTTAGCTAAAAACTATTTGGTGAATTCTTCTGCTCTGCAAACCACAGTGATCGCCGTGTGGCAAAGGACTAGGAAATGAGTCAGATGTGTTCTCTGCCCTCAAGAACCAGCGACTCTTAGGGAAATGTCAGGCAATTCTCAACGTTTCATTATGAGTTAGAAGATGGCCGGAGGCAGTCCCCTTCCTGTGAGTTTATCCAATGATTTGCATAATTAGAAGGAGCTAGTTGCAACTTCATTCAAATTGTTTCCTTTTAAGAAGGTCTTTGAGAATGTAAATGTGTGAGTGATATTAATTTTGGATTGATGTGGAATATGGGATAATTCTTCTTTTATAAAAGAAAATACTCTGTACTTCATACACCACAGATCATTTGTGTAAACATTGCACAGTTAATGACAATACATTTTGTAATTATGATTTGGCCAGATGATGCCAAAGTAAGGGCCAAGGGAATGCAAAGAGGCATAAGTGTAGGATGACAGAATGAACCAAACTCAAGATTATAAACTGCAACATTGGGACACCAGTGGGAGATGCCTTTAAATCCCGGGCACGGAAGGGAGTAGATGGACAGAAATCTCATCTGGATTTGGAGCAAGAATATTGGGCCGAGAGAAAGGCCTCCTTAATAACTTATTCCAGGTAGTGTCAGTGATATAAGAATGACCAACTATTGATAAATGTTAAAGTTGGGGGATGATAGAGTTTAAAACTATATTCATATGGAAAGTTATATGATCATATAAATTTGAACCCAAATATTTTCATATGTAAGACAGACAATAGAGAAGTAACCTGGGGGGAAGTGTTCTTTGAGTTGGACATAGCATGTACAAATCACCGCTGACTGCTTTTACAGTAGTAAAGTAGAATAGATGAACTTGGTTAGTAAGATCCATAAAACCAGTTAGGGTTCATTTAACTTAAATGGCTGCCAGGCGTCAGAGCAGATGGCAGAAGCAAGCAGCTCACCGCAGTCCCACTCATCGGAACTGTCTACGCAGTCGGCTTCGCCGTCACACCACCGGTCACGGGACACACACTCGTGGTTGGCACATTCTAGCTCATCAGCTTGGCAAGATGCTGGCAGGGGAACAAGAAAGGAGGAGATAAACATTTTAGGAATGGATAGGACTTTCACTAACAGGCACCTCACGGTTTGCCAACAGGCGCATCAAAGGAGGAAAAGCTGTGGTTGCTGAGGCCTTCCTGTAAGAGTCAGCACAGGGGAGCAGAGCCCGTGCGGTCTCGTTTCTGAGATGTCCGTCCACACAAATAGCGAGCACTTAGGCAGCGCTACTACCTCCAAGGGGCTAAATTCTCTAGTTCTAGCCACAGGATTGAAAAAGTGGTGCGCAGAGCAGCAGAAATCCCAAGATGAGAGCACAGAGCTAAAATCTGAAGGGGCTTGAGCTGAGCCCTGGGCATGAGCAGACTGAAGTCACTCTAGGATGAGACCTGCTCTGTCCACATTTATGGCTAGTTTTATTTATTTTTTTAATCTCTAGTATTAAGTGACTCTCAGAGTCACACACTAATCTTCTCTTGGGCTTTTAAAACCTATAGCCAAACTCCTTAATTGCCTATCTAACATCTATTACTTTTCTTTCTTCTTTCTTAAGGGAGTCTGATTTCTATTCAGGCTTCCACACCAGCCCCTGTCCAGGGAAAGAATCCTAAGTCGTTTAAATAAGACATGGCATTTTTTCACTACAATTGTATTTTCCTGAGTACAGTTATTAGCCCAGGAGCAAACATGGCATCTAAAATCAGGTCTCAGCTTGTGGTTTTGTAGGTTGTACTTTACAAGGTGGTTCTTGACCAAACCCTGCCATCTAAGGCCTCGTGTCCTAGCCTGGAAGAGAAGTGGCCTGGAAGAGACACCATCTTTTCTTATTGGTTCTCCTGAAGGATGCTTCTAGACCAATATCATCATGCATATATTTTACACATTTGACTGTATTTGGCATATGTTTTTCCAAGTGAAGTTTTAGTCAAAAAGTATGAAAATACAAAAAGCTTTGACATGTATTTCCAAACTTCTCACTTATACAAAGTGAGGGGTAATTAATGTTTAAAATAAAATATCACATTGACAAATGCCCAATAAGGACTTACAGCAGTTTTTTTCATCCATGTTATCAGGGCAGTCTGGAAACCCATCACAGATGACTGTGTGCTTCAAACACTGTTTGCTGGATGGACATTCCCAAAGATCTCTCTCCTTACATCCTGGAGACAGAAGGAAAGGTTATGTGCAATAGATGTGAAGGTGAAAACACCTATGGCTTTGATCAAACAAAGTAAAAAAAAGAATGACAATATAAAGGGAGGATTTCTTTCTTCTTAACAAGTTTTGACTCCTGTATACCATGGAAAATGTACTTTTGAAAGTATAAATGCTTGGTAATCTCCATATGGCATTATAAATAGTAAATCTCTTCCAGGAGAAGATCAAAAGTGACATATGGGAAACAGGAAAAAAATGAATAAGCAACTGTACAGTAATGTTCATCTTTTGCTGTTCCTTTTGCTTTCTGAGCCAATTTGCCAACACATAAGACTCATCTCTAAAACGATAAGCTACGCTTTTAAGCAAATATGCCCAAACCTAGTGATCTAAATGCATATTATCTTAAAATGTAATTTCAATCAACAAATGGTAACGCCATCTGTGTGTTTAGCAAAAAAGGCAACTCCTATGCCAAATATCTACAAAACTAGTTTATGAGCCAGGTATGAAAGCCATTACCTTCAGTAATGTAGCCAGAAATCTAAGATTAGAAACTATCTATTATATGAGAAATAAACATAAAGACTATAAGCTTGAATGGTAATCTATCTATAAAATAACAAGCTCTTGCAATGAGCTCAATAAATGCCATCTGGTTCATAGACAGTCAATTTATATGTTTGCTAAAACACGCCAAATGTCTAGTTGCTCTTACTGCTCAGGTTGGACCCATGACTCTCACCATGCTGTGAGGTGTGGAGGACGAGACCACATATTTTCATCTTTGAGCATCCTGACTCCCCTGCCTAGAATGGCAGCTAGCCCTCAGTAGACTCCCAACACATATGAATTTTAAATGGAACTTTATTTCATGTAAGAAACAAACAGTCTCTTGTTCCTAGAAAAAGGTAGTTTAGTTTACAGTAAATGAAACACCAAGCAGTGATGAAATAAGGAGTGTCTTTAAAGATACTATTTCTCATCAGACCTGTACAAATCACTCAGAGAAATGGCATAGATGATTGACTCAAGTTTCTTGGAGTCCTTCATAGGAAAATAATCTGCTTTAAAAAGAATTTTCTTTGAAAAATTATCAAAATAAATTCACAGAAGAGAGATTTTTACTACAGGAAAAGTTAGGTTTAAAGTGTTTTAGATGCTTAGCAAGTAAAGAATCCACCAGCAATGCAGGAGATGCGGGTTTGATCCCTGGGTTGGGAAGATCCCTTGGAGTAAGAAATAACAACCCACACCCATATTCTTGCCTGGGAAATCCCATGACAGAGGAGCCTGGCAGGACGCAGAGTCAGACACAACTGAGCGACCAGCCATGCACTGTTGCACCATCCAGGGCCTCCCTGGTGTCCAGTGGTTACGACTCTGCACTCACACTGCAGGGAGCATGGGTTTCATCTCCGCTCAGGGAACTAAGATCCCACAGGCCACACGGCATGGCCAAAAAAAAGGGGGGGGGGTGGTTAATAAAAAGTACAATAAAGTATTTTTAAAATAAAGTGCTTCATCATTCAAACATATAGGACAGTGGGAGAGTATCTGACCACAGAACTATATAGGAAATAAATAGTGAGAATCATTCATTAACTATCTGGAGTTGTCTTAGGCCCAGGGACATCTATTCCAGGAACTCATGGGGATATTATTTGGAGTTTTCAGCTAACTGAGAATACAGACATCATCTGGAAGGTTCTTGCAATGAGACTCTCAGCACAAACGACACCCCTTGCTAGCAGATGATGAGAGAAAACAGCATGACTCTTTCTGACTATTCACAAGAGTACAGAGAGGAATTTGAACACATGGAATGAGCTGAGAAAAGACCACACAAGTCAATCCACTGGTACATAAGATCTGCATCCTCACAGAGGGTAATAATAGGAGAGAACACTTATTATCCACCATAAATCCACATTCTAGATAATAGTTTTAGTTCTTAACACCACAATGTCAGAATTACAATAATCATTTCCTAAGTGAGGAAACTGCAAGTTAGAGAAAATAAATAAATTGCTCCAAATCCAGCCTTATGGAGAAATCTCCAGTTGGGAAGAAGTTTCAAGTCCTTAGTTGTAGTTGTCTGTACGTTGAAAAGACATAGCATGTGCCAGGGGTAAGAGCAAGGAAAACAGCTTAGAGGCAGACATCTGGATTTGAACCCCAGCTTCAATCTCATTAGCTATGTGGCCTTGGATAAGTTTCTTAATTTCTCTGAACCTCTGTTTCCATATCTCTAAAATAGGAATAATAACACCTGCTACAAAGTGTTGCTATAAGGGAGAAATGAGTACTCTCTGGGCAGTAATTTCCCTTCTGTATATTCTCTTTTCTAATAAAAGTTTGTGCAGCCTAAAGCCCTCTTTTGTGGAGTTACGATGAACATAAATGAATTAGGATGAAAAAAGTTCAGGACATGAGTTCCATGGAAGACAATACTATGATTTTGTGAAGAAACCATTCTCTCTTCAAAGTGACAGTTTTTGGTGTAATTATGCTTTAAATGTATGCTTTAAAAGGAAGAGGGTATGACTCCATTAAAAATGAAAAACAGATATGGATAGGATGGACGTTTAATGCAGCTGTAGGTTATAAAATCAAATAATTGTTGATGTCAGGATAACAGCCACCCCTGCACAGAATCCACAGCCACGGCCACTCACAGTGGCCACTGTGTGTTGCTAAAGGGACAGTTCATCCCAGTTTTCCTGGGACTTTGCAGGTTTGAGCATCAGTCTACCCCCCCTTCCAAGAAACCGCTCGCAGTACCAGGCAAACCGGTATGGTTCATCGCCTAAGTGTGTCAAGCATTCTGCTAGGTTCTTAACTTATTCACTCTCATTTTCACAAAAATTTTGTGAAGCTGGCTTCCCTGTCTTGGGCAGATCCCACTTGAACTGGGGAACCTTGTCTCTCCATCAAAAAAGTTGTCATTCACAGACATAGAGAACAGATTTATGGACACAGTAGGACAGGGTTAGGAGGGAGAGGGTGAGATGTTTGGAGAGAGTGACATAGAAACATATATTACCGTATGTAAAGTAGATGGCCCATGGGATCTACTTTATGACTCAGGGAACTCAAACAGGGGCTCTGTAACAACCTAGAGGGGTGGGATGTGAAGGAAGGTAGGAGGGATGTTCAAGAGGGAGGGGACATATGTATACCTATGGTTGATTCATGTTGATGTTTGGCAGAAACCAACACAATACTGTAAAGCAATTATCTTTCAATTAAAAATAAATAAAATTTTTAAAAGTTGTCATTATAGGTGAAGAGAGCAAACCACCTTAAAACAGATGCTTCTTGTACTTTAAGAAGCTCTCAGTTACGCAAGTATAAGGTAATTAGGTCTGCTCATCAGGGCTGCTAACTTGATCAGTATCAAAGAAAAAGTATTGCCACAGAAAAAGAAAAAAAAAAAGTATTGCCATGGAGGGGCTGCTCATGAGAGCAAGGGAGAAAGGCCCTTCTGCGTCCTGGCGCTGGCAGAGGCTGGACCAGGCTGGATCTAGCCATCTTCAGCCAGCAGCTGTCCCAGTGGCTATGGATGTGACCTCAGAGCGGATCACGGCAGCTGAACAGTGAGGTTCAGGCCTGGCAGGTGTGACGGCCCCTCCAGAGCCTGGAACCCCTGACTATGGAGCCCAAATCTCAAAGAAAAGCCATAGTACCTGTGGGAGCAGCCTGGCCAAAAGGACCTGCCTCCCCCTCCTCCCCCAGACTCCAGGCCTAAGCGTCAGGGACAGTCAGCTCCGGCAGGAGTCATAGAGCCTCGTCTCCGCCCAGAAAGCTTCAGCAGACTCCCCACGCCTGAGTCGCCTCCCACCTGCCCCTCTTAGGGGCGGCATCTTCATGTCAGCCTCTCCATGTGTGCTGGCCCAGTGGCCTGGGAGGAAGCGGACGGCTGCATATGGCAGGGCAGGGCCTCCCCGTGGTTGTCACCCTGGAGATGGAGACGTTCGCCATCAGAACAAGCATTGCCTCCAAGACAAGGAGCCGCCTGGAAGCCCGTGGTCACCGTGGAAACCAGGGCCTCCACCCAGCCGCTCTCTTCTGCGTGTACAAGGCCTGGAGACCAAGCCAGACGAGACTCCTTCCCTCAAGGGAGACCCCTGGGGTGTCCTGGGGGTGGGGGACATGCCTCTGGATTTCCTAGCACTGTGGTGGGTGGGCTCTTGGTTATTGCCTTCTGATGACTGAACAGGCATGTTATAAGCATTCCAAGCTGTGAGGGATAAAGGAAGGTCTCTCTAAATGTTACAGGTGAGAAGACTGAGGCCCAGAGAAGTTAAGTGACTGGTCAAAAGTCACACAGCCTCCAAGTGCTAAACTGGGATTTAAATCCAAGTCTAGGTCTGTGGGCTCCGCAGGTGGCACCAGTGGTTAAGAGCCTGCCTGCCACAGCAGGAGACATGAGAGACCAGGGTTCAATCCCTGGGTCGGGAAGATCCCCTGGAGAAGGAAACAGCAACCCATGCCAGTATTCTTGTCAGGAGAATCCCATGGACAGAGGAGCCTGGTGGCCACAGTGCACAGAGACGCGACTGAAGGGACTTCGCACTGTGGTCTATGGCTCAGTGATGAAGAATCCCCCGCAATGCAGCAGACCGGGGTTCGACCCCCGGGTCAGGTCAGGAAGATCCCAGGAGAAGGAAATGGCAACCTACTCCAGTATTCTGGCCTGAAAAATGCCATGGACAAAGGAGTCTGGTGGGCTACAGTCCATGACGTCACGAAAGATTCGGACGTGACTGCGTGACTAAATCCACACTAGGTGCGCACAGCACCTGCCCTGCCATTTCAGGCGCCTGTCCTGGAAACCAAACGAGACATCAAGGGGTTAACCAAGCAGAAAACTACCTACAGGGAAGGAGAATATCTATTCCCTAACATGAAATAATTAAACTAATCAGAGATCAGTCCTGTCTCATCCTGAAAGTACGTTTGTGGACATGCAACATGAGACGAACACAGCGACCCGCACCCTGTCTTCCGGTCACAGAGAGCACGTCAGCCTCTCCTACCAGCAGAGAGACAGACACAGAGGCAAGGGGACTGGCTCTCTGCAGGCTTAAAGACACAACAGCTAAGTCCTTCTTTGGACTTCTCAGAAGTATTTATGTATTTCTTACAACAGGAAAAAAAAAACTCTTTTAGGAAACCTTTAAAGTCAAGCTGTAAACCCCACCAACATCAGAGCCAAAGACTTTAAACACAGCTATGGGGCTTCCCTCAGGCTCAGACGGTGAAGATTCGACCTGCAGTGGGAAGACCTAGGTTCGACCTCTGGGTCGGGAAGATCCCCCGGAGAAGGGACTGGCAATCCACTCCAGTATTCTTGCCTGGAGAGTTCCATGAACAGAGGAGCCTGGCGGGCTGTGGTTCTTGGGGTCACAAAGAGATTATATTCTATTTCTTTAAGGCAATTTTGACTCCAAGAAGTTCAGGTTAGAATAAAATATTTTATTATATTTTATCACCCAAGAGGAGATCAAAGATAGATAATGAAATGGTTTTAATCATTTGAAGATAAACAGAAAGTCCGTAAGGGCACTCCCACTTGTATTGTTGTCCATCTTTCTCTGTATGCTGAATGCGCTTTATGTGGAATAGTGATCAGTTAGCAATTGTGAAGCAGTATTCATGTAATGAAGGGTTTTATTTCTCCAGTAGATGCAGAAAAATTGTTCGGACTCTTCTCATTTAACTGCCCCATTGAGAGGACCTGCTGCTCCCATCACAGCCCTGGAACCACCTTACTCCTGCCGGCAGCTCACCTCCCTGTGGACACAGACTTAAAAAAGCTAACCTCAGTCTCACAAGCTCAAGCTCAAATCTATATTGTAAAGGCAAAGTTCAGAATTATAATCTTCCTGTTACTTTCTTTAGCTTGCCATTCCTTTATGCCCCTCTTATTCATTTCTCCACCCAGATTTTTCTCCATAGCTTAGATATTAATGCTTAAGAAAGGTTAGAATGAAAATAAGCCTCTTTAATCCACTTGCTAGACATACAGCCAACTTTATCTACATAGTAGAGGTTCAACTAATGACAAATTATCACTTTAAGACAAGAAACAGTACTGACTCTGTAAATCAATCCTACCTTTTAGGCTTCCCTCCCATGAAGCAATTCTGTAATGATGTGTTCATATTTACATAATGCCTCCAAACACTTACTGAAAACATTTCTAATAATGCCAATATTTCCAATGTAAATTTTGTTTACATTAACAATTACACAAGCAGTGCAACTTCAACAACAAAAGTTTACCACAAGAGCAGGAGTTACTTCAAAATTTAGCATTACCCACTGCCAAATGCTTAACGTGTATATCTGACAAGCATTTACAAACGGAGTGCTCTGACCACCATGTTTTCCTGCTGCAAAAGTGTCAAAGAAACACAGCGTAAATTTCCAACCCATCAATTCTTTTATAACTGAGTTAAAGAAGTATTGCTTTGAGGGGAAAACCCAATAACATTGTTAGAAGTTCTGGAGGAGCTACAAATGTGTGTAAGTGAATAGTTAATTGTCACATTATTCAGTAAAGGCCAAGCACTTATGTGCCCTCTGCAATGGACGGAATAAATCAGAAAGACATGAAGTGTGGTGTGAAATGCTGCTTTGCTGGAGTGGGTGTTTGTGTTACCAGATGGTATGCCTACCCACGCCCACGGAAACAAAGGGACTGACTGACCAAGGAGGCAGAGTCGGGAGGGGATGACTCCCCAGCAGCTCTCTCTGTGCGGGGCCTCCCTCTGCTTCCTCATTTGCTTTCAAGTGCTGTGTTCTCCCAAAGCGTGGGGCACCCCATTCAAAGCCCTGGATGCGTTCCGAAGGGGATTCTATACACCAAAGCGGGTGGTAAAGCGGTTCCAATAAAATATTTATTGTAAGTCACCTTGACAAATACAATGAGAAATTAATTTCTCATGAACTAATACTGTTGGGGGCAATTAATACCCTCAATGTATTAATTTATGACTGACTTTTAACTTTCCTCAACTAGAACTCTCAATAACATCATCAGTATTTTGAGTGTCTTGTAGAGATTAGGCAATTTATTCAATAGTTCTGGTGAGCCTGTAATTGTGAGATTAGAGGATGGAGAGAAATTTATAGCTTACCTAGAAATCTGACATTTTTGGATCATTTGTAATGAACACAAGCTTTAAATTTCTTCTTCACCAAACATACTCTACACCTTAGACCATTTAATCTTCCAAAGTCTCTTTTTGAGACTAAGCATTTACATTTCTCAAATAATTAGTCCCCTATTGCAAATTTCAGTCTAGCCACCCAATGGAATATCATGTAACCTCTTTAAACAATCTAAGATAATTTAGTTTAAGCTGCACCTCAAAATACCATAGCCCATAGTTAGTAAAAAAAAAAAAAAATCCAATAGATTCTTAATGAGTTACTTATATAGGGGATAGTCAATGAATATTGACTTATTTATTTACATAAAGACCACAAACAAAGCAAGCAACAGTAGCTTCACAAAAAACTGTATGTTCCTCTCTAACAAAATTACTGCTGGTCATTGGACCATCATTCTGACAGCTCTGATTTTCTAGAAGATGCTCTTATCCATATTTATCATAGCTGATAGGATTTCAGTTGATTGCTTGTGACATTTTGTCTAGACCAGAAGGGCAGTGTCTTCTATGGAAAACTCATTTTGGGGAGCAAGGCAATATTTCATCCTTCAAAGGCCAAAAGAATAAAATGATTTCAAAAGATGCATTGCCTCATGTGTTTTCAATAGCAAAAAAATGTCAGTTTTTTTTTTAAAGCAGAACAAGCTAAGTAGTCATAACTAAACTATTCTTTGGCTAGCCCTTCAACCATTTTGCTTTACTCTAGCATATTACTTAGTGAAGAGCATTGTCTGTTTTCAATTCCCTGATACATTTTGAGGTTCTAAATACAAAGGTTTGCAGGGAGTAAAATGGGAATTAGCTCCACTTAAATTGCCGTTGGCATTTCCTGCCTTTGCCATAGTGATTTTGGAACTCAAAGGCAGAAACGCCAGAAGAGTTTTATCCTCTGCCGGCAGAGACAAAAATCAGAGAGGGCATGAAATTTAATTCCCATTAAACTTGAACATTGGAGCCTGCAGTCTGTCTTTGTGTACCTAGATGCCTGTTTAATAATATGGGAATTATAAGTAAGGACACCATTATCCTGATCTTATAACAGATGACAACTGCTTTAGAATCTCAATAAAAATAATCTCTTACATTTGTGAAGAGCTTCTCACTTTACTGAGGGTTTGCACATATGTCATCAAGGTTATAAACAGAGTGCAATTTAGAGAAAATCAATGGAATTAACAGGAAAGCTTATAATAATTACTTTGATAATTTATAAAATTATTTTATATTTTATGACATTTTATAAACATTTTATATCTATATTTTATATTTTATTATTATACAATAATAAATTTTGATAATTTAAGAAGTAAATGTCTTAACATTCAGTCCTAGTCACTACTTACAACTGTCAGTAAACAACTGACATATTTTAACACAACCCCTTATCCTAGTGTACATTTGAGAAACGTGCCATTTCACATACATACCACAGTTTTCTTCATCACTATCATCATCACAGTCAGCCTGGCCATCACATCTTCTGGAAGCCAGAACACAGCGTCCTGAGCTGCACTTGAAGTGACTAGGTGAGCATTCTGTAAAAAGCAGCGGGCCATATTACTGCCAACAGACAGAAAACCCAGACCCATCAGCTACATTATTCATTTACGTGTGGGATGATGTGGAGAAGATATCACTGAAGATAAGGATGGTCCCTCACCAAGCTGAAATCACCAAAATTTACTTGGTTCTTTTCTGTCTGCCCTCAGCATCTTTTTCCTTCATCCTTGGCATCATCTCTCCAGATTAGCTGTTTTGTGTCTTTATGCTTTCCAACAATTACATCTCTTTCTGAACGGACAATTGCTGGAGCCTGAAATGTCCTAGGAATTCAATGCTTCTAACTGCCCTCCTTTCATTTGTCAAATTGTTTCCCATTCTGATCTTTCCACCTGGTGGACAGGCATTTCTCTACCTGATCATCTAACACGGCCAAGGTCTCTGAATGCTTTGCACTTGAAGCTGAGTGCCGAAGAATGAATACTTTTGGACTGTGGTGTTGGAGAAGGCTCTTTTTTTTTTTCCATTTATTTTTATTCATTGGAGGCTAATTACTTTACAATATTGTAGTGGTTTTTGCCATACATTGACATGAATCAGCCATGGATTTACATGTGTTCCCCTGGAGAAGACTCTTGAGAGTCTCTTGGGCTTCAAGGAAATCAAACCAGTCAATCCTAAAGGGAGTCAGTCCTGAATATTCATTTAAGGACTGATGCTGAAGCTGAAATGCCAACACCTTGGCCACCTGATGCAAAGAACTGACTCATTGGAAAAGACCCTCATTCTGGGAAAGATTGAAGGCAGGAGGAAAAGGGGATGACAGAGGATGAGATGGTTGGATGGCATCACTGACTCGATGGACATGAGTTTGAGCAAGCTCTGGGAGTTGGTGATGGACAGAGAAGCCTGTGTGCTGTGGGTCCATGGGGTCACAAAGAGTTGGACATGACTGAGCAACTGAACTGAACTGAAGTGAAGGAGCCACGGCTTTATCTTCACTGTTACCTTCAAGACCCTCTAGTATAAAAGCAGCTTCCATATATAATGGGACTCTGTGAGTTGTGTTTACAATAAACACCGAGATTATTATAAAGTCATCTCTGCAATTTATTTTTAAAATGAATACAGTGTCTAACAGATAAGTGTTAAATTCTTCAATGTAATCAAGTTTATAGATTCACCACCTACATAGCCTTTCTATTGGCAATCATATAAAAACAACAATTAAGAAACTTCTAAAGGTAGCTGATTTATTCATTCATGTTAGATACTGCATTGTAATTAATTTTAAAATTAATAAAAATTAACCTTCAACTTCATCATCAGGCATTAGGCAGGTTTGATTGTCTGCATTTTCCTCTGGAAATTGATTGCAATCTGTGTCTTCTGGCCACTGTAGACCCACAATCCCAAGAACAGACTCACAGCGTTCTTTGGAATGCTCACAGAGAGCTCTAAAAGAGCAAAAAAACCAACATTACAGGCAGAAATAGCTACACCAAATGTTAGGCATCTACATAGGACTTTTAATTCTGTACAGCCTTGGGTCAATGTATATATGTGGTGTGTGTATACAGTGTGTGTGTGTATCAATGTATATATGGATGCACATACACATGATAGGTATTTGGGAAATCAAAATAAGAGATATCATTACAAGGGAGATAGAGTCCTGAAACACAGTTTCACCAAAAAAAAAAAAAAACCAACTCTATTGCAGGAATGGAAATAGAGTTGTTCCCAGAACATGGATTCCCTTCTCCAGTTTACCCTTCTTGCTTTCTCTTCTGTCTTTCAGGCAGACACATTCTCCATCATTTTTGTTTCAGGCAAGTCCCCAGCATCACTTTGGGCACTCTGCCACCACAGGGCATGGAATCCGTACAACACCCTCAGCCCCTTCTGGTGCCCTGCGACTGGGCCATTTCAAGTTCTAGCCTGGCTTCCCTAAAGGCCATACTTCAGCTTACACTAATATTGTTGAAAAACTTGGTGCTTCTCCCAGACCCATCTATGTTGAGCTCAAGTTGGCAAAAAATTAAATGTACTGGCTTTTGTTACAGAAAAGATATACTAAGCATTGCACTGGGCGTTTCAATGTGTGTTACTTCATTTGTACCTAGAATATTTTAAATTGAGGCATCAGCATGTCTCAAAGAAGATGTTTTTCACTTCAGATGGGGGAAAAAAATGCAGTTTTGCCTCAATATATAACCAATAAATTCGTTTTTAAAAATGTTAAGTAGATATAACCAGTGCAAGTTCCTAGGCAAATTTCTCATTTCCTTTTAAAGACATTCTCATTTCTCAAAAGTTTCCAACTTTAAACTAAGTTAATATCAACAACATAAGGAATGGCTAGCAATTGAACAGAGAAGTTTCCAAAAAGTCTCCATCTTGATTTAACTGTCTAGATTTAAGACAGAGCATAACTTAATGTTGGTTTAGCCTAGGAATCTGGGGCAAAGACAAAGCCATGGCATTCCCATATGAGGCAAAAATGAGAAGCTCAACAGTGCTTAACAACTATATGTTTGATTGAGTAGTTTTGTTGCAGATTAAATAAAAAGTGTATATAACTCAATCACTGCTGCTACTTTAAATTAACCAAAAGATACCTATTTCAGATAGAAGTCAGGTACTGCCTGACTCTACCACTTTTTTTCCCCTGTAAAATAGAAATAAAATAAACAGCACTACAACTCCACGGCACACTTGTTCATATCATAATCTGTGTGGTATTCAACCATAGAGACAACAGTCCCAAAAGGTTGCTTTGAGGATGACAACTAAAGTATTTAGCACATTATAAGGGCTCAATAACATTAGATTTTTTCCAATTCATAACTTAAAAACTGAATTTTAAGATCAATAAACAAGCCTGGCAAAAGCAACTATGCACAACCCCATGAGCATATCAGTATATTACTCTCATTATACAAAAAATATTTTCTTACAAATATCATAATGTAAAATTCTCTTTGATAGCTACTAAAAATTAAAGATGTATATATGCTAAGAAAAAACAACTAAAATGCCTAGAATCAGTTCACCAAATTGTTCCCTGTATAGTATTTCAGGATCCATCTCATCTTAGGCATTTAAATATGAAACCTAAGTCTTAGAATTATCAGTTATATGTGGATATAAATTTGTTCCAGAGAACACTGTTAGAGAAATGTTTATACACATATGAAAAGAAAATCAAATACAAGAATTTGTTAAGTACTATTAAAAGTAAGTATTCACTATCAACCTTGCTTAGCAAAAATGGAATAAGATTTACAAATAAGTTGTTAACATAAAACTGGTAGATGTTTTATTAGTAATATGTTAAAAGGCATTTAACAGACATTTTCAGAAGTGTATTTGCACACGCCTACATCGTCCTACTCTGTTTGTACTTTTTTGTTCAGTTTCCCAAGTCATTTTGAAATTTTATTGTTTCCTGTCCTGACTCTATAGATGACCCTTCCTTGTCATCCATTTGATATTCAGTATTTAATTTGTTTTCTCATCTGTTCACTGTTTTGATATTACTGCTTCTTCTTCAAGTTCCGAATGACATCTGATTCAAACACATGGTTTTCACAGCCACCACTCACATTAGGCAGGCATATCTGTGCACTCACCCACGATGGAAAAGAGCCCGAGGAGAGCAGCCCACCTCTGTGACAGCCGCTCTGGATGTGCACTCTCTCTGCCCACAGCCCAGGACACACCGGCGGAGAAGGCCAAGCTGCCTCAAAGCCGTGAGCACTGCCCCTGTCCTGACATCAGAGCAGTGCTTATTCTGGGCTCACGGTCAGCTGGCAGAACTTCGCCTTTGTGTACATTCATCTAATCTTAATCTCACAGCAACTCAACCCAACCACGATCACAATCCTGGTCTTCCAAGTAAGGGAACTGGGACTGGAAGAGATCAAGGAAACGGTCTCAGGCCACAAGCAGCTAGAGGAAGGGCCAGGATTTGAATCAGAAGGTGGACTCCAGAGTAATAGTCTTAAACACAGGACATCACTCATAGCCTAAGACCAAGCCATGCTCTTAAAACGCTGTCCTGAATTTCACCCAAGCAGGTAGAAAAACTCTATGTTCATCCCCTGTCTGTCCTGAGAGGTTGGTGTGATGTCTCTTCACTTTTGATACAGTTAGAAAGCAGCATTTTAAATACATCAACACTGCTAGATCAAGAGGCAGACAGATCCCTCCTTCTGCTGTCTCACATTTAAAAAACCACTTCTTGATCCACCAAAATGAAATATGTGATTTTATTTGGCTAAAGTCCATGAACTATTATCAAAGGCAGTTCATAACCCTCTTGTTTGGTTCTTCAGCAATGACTGCTTACTCAGATACTCATTTTAGAATTCTACTTCTTTACCATTTTAATATGCAATTTGTTAAACACAGAGCTTCTTAGCAAAATAAGTACTTTGTCTAAACTTAAACTAAGTCTTCATTCCCTTGGTTCTCCCTGAGGGAAAATGAGGATGCCTGGGGGAGATGCCATTGTATTACCTGCAAGGGGGGATACGCTGGTGTGCATCCTCATCACATTTTGGTACCAAGATGGTGCAAGCAAAGAACATGAGGTATTTGTAACAGTTGGTTTGAACAAGTGCAGGGAAAAGAGAAGACTCCCAGCTGACGGATGCTTCCTTTTGAGTCCTGTGGCCAAGGTAATTCGGAAAATTTGTATGGTTGTAGGGCAAATTCAAGCAGAGTTCCAACGTAATTGGTTCACACTGACCTAACAATAACAACAACAAAAAAAAACCACACATATAGATACATATTATATATTTTTATTTATAATTTCATTTTGTTTATATTTATAATTCCACATGTAAGATAACTTACAAAATGAAAGTCTACCTTACAATCTTTCTTAAAAGTATTTAAGACTAGAATGCAAGCAGTACATGAGGTTGCCTTCAGAGATAAATAGTGTGGTTCATGAGGTGTCTTGACAAGCCAAGATTCATTTCTGTATATGCATCTGCCAGCACACTGCCCAGCATGAATGTTTCAGAAGGTCTTCCTCATTTTCCCCTTGGTTTCACTTATCTGAAAGTGACTCCGTTTCCTGCTTCCTTTTACTTTAATTTGTCATCTTCTGATTTATCCATTACTTCTAAACTAATGCATTCCCCATCACCCTGAAAGCCACTTTTAAAAATTAACGAATTTAGCTGAGGAGGCAAGTAGATGACTTTTTCCTATATGTTTTGTGGTTAATAAACATATGAAAGTAAAACGTGAAAGTCACTCTTTCATGTCTGACTCTTTGCAACCCCATGGACTGTAACATGCCAAGCTCCTCTGTCCATGGAGTTCTCCAGGCAAGAATACTGGAGTGAGTAGCCGTTTAGCCATTCTATTCTCTAAGGACTCTTCCCAATCCAGGGATTAAACCCAGGCCTCCTGCATTGCAGGCAGATTCTTTACTGTCTGAGCCACCAGAGACTTGCTGATCAACGTGTAAAGATACACAATTCCAGGGCAAGAGGAGGCTGAGGTCCATCAGATATCCATTGCCAGAGAGATCATCCCTAACACTTAGCTTGGCATCCAAGGCTATTTCACACTCCAAACCACAGCCTAACTTTCTAGCCTCATCACCCATCCTATCTCATCAGCAATATTTGCTTGGTGACACCAGACATTTTAAGAATTGCATGACTTTGTGATTCCTGTTAGCTTTTATTCCTTTCTTTCCTTCACACACTTGCAATCACCCCTTAAATGCAATCATGTTTCTAGCTGTCAGCACTTGCTTCCTGGAATGATCCTTTCCCGTCCTCCTCGCCAAGCTAATTTCTCCTTGGTTTGCAGCACTCAGCACAAACACCTCTTCCAGGAAGCCTTCCTGGCCAACCACTCTTCCTCTTCCACTCCCAGAAGGAGCACCAGAGTATCTCCAGGACATGCCTGCCATGCCCACTGGCCCTCTGCTCTATTCTTCACTTACTTACTTGTCTTCCCCACACAATTCTGAGACTTTTGTGAAATGAGGCTTTCTTTTTTTAAAATTGAAGTATAGCTCATTTACAATGTTGTGTTAGCTTCTGCAGCTACAGCTACAGCTAAGTCGCATCAGTCGTGTCCGACTCTGTGCGACCCCGTGCGACCCCATGGACAGCAGCCCACCAGGCTCCTCTGTCCCTGGGATTCTCCGGGCAAGAACACTGGGGTGGGTTGCCATTTCCTTCTCCAATGCATGCACGCATGCTAAGTTGTTTCAGTCGTGTCCGACTCTATGTGACCCCATGGACAGCAGCCCACCAGGCTCCTCTGTCCCTGGGATTCTCCGGGCAGGAACACTGGGGTGGGTTGCCATTTCCTTCTCCAATGCATGCACGCATGCTAAGTTGTTTCAGTCGTGTCCGACTCTATGTGACCCCATGGATAGCAGCCCACCAGGCTCCTCTGTCCCTGGGATTCTCCAGGCAGGAACACTGGGGTGGGTTGCCATTTCCTTCTCCAATGCATGCACGCATGCTAAGTTGTTTCAGTCGTGTCCGACTCTATGTGACCCCATGGACAGCAGCCCACCAGGCTCCTCTGTCCCTGGGATTCTCCGGGCAGGAACACTGGGGTGGGTTTTGCCATTTTCTTCTCAATGTGTTAGCATCTGGCGTACAGCAACGTGATTCAGTTTTCCATACATAATTAAAATGAATGCTTTTTCAGATTCTTTTCCATTATAGTTTATTATAAGATATTAAATGTAGTTCCCTTATTTCTTGACCTCATAGTCTGCGCCAAGCATAGTGTGAGAATTAAGGGGGGAAAGGAGGAAGGAAGGTGTCAGAAGCCGCCGTGGGCACTCTAAAATGCAAAATAATTCAAGATATAGTCCAAGCCCTTGAAGCAGTCTGAGTCTCCAGGGGTATAACGTCGGCAGATTAGGCCAGCAGGACTGGGAAAAATGCTAGAGCCCAGAGGGACAGCGTGGACAGAAGCAGCTTGGGAAGACCTCCCAGGACAAAGGAGTTTGGACAGATTTGGGGGAAAGCAGCGGCAAGGCTTTCTGCCCCTTGTCTGCAGGAGATGGGCCTCACTCCCAGAGGAATGAGGTCGTCAAGGGAGTGTCTTTGCAGAATCAGGCCAGGTCCACCAAAGACTTCATGCCTTAAGGGTGATTATTCAAATTAAATTTAATTATTTGACTAAGAAGTGGTAAGCAGGCAAACAGATTAGCAATAAGGACTGCAGTGAAATAGTGAAACAGCTCTGGGATGATTTCTTGATTTAAACAATCTGAGGGCTTTTCAGATACTATGCTATGGAAGCTTGACAATGATCAGATTAAAAAGCTCATGACCACACATATAAGACTCTCAGTTTACTGGGGAAGAAGTAACACTCTAAAGCTGGCATAATCCTGAGGATACCTACAGTGTAGGGAGAAGAAAGAGATGGAAGAGGGATGGAGTTTGTTCAACTTCTTGCTTCTCTGATTTGTGAAAGAGGAGTAACATGAAATGTTTGATTTCACATTACACATAAAAAAATGCATGTTCGTTATAAAGACAATAAAAAGATGAATATAGGAAAAGTTCTCCATTCCCCACCTCCTTTTCTTTAACTTTCCTCAAAGCTAAAAGACAGTTTTAATCCTTTCAGGCCTTTCACTTGCTCATATTTATATGCATAAGAATTTACACACACAGGCAGAGATATGTCTATGCTTTCGCCAAAGGATAACTGTACTATCACTATTACTTTCCAACTTGTTTTTGTTTCTTGATAACCTATCATGACCAAGTAGTAGAAACAGCTCAACCTCTATGTTTTTCCTAATTTCTTCAATATACTTAAAATTTTACCCCCCAAAATGGGATCGTTTACATATATTTTGATGCAGTCTTTTTTCCCCTGTAGACACCTTTTCTTTCTCTTTTCCTCAACCATCCTATAAAAAAGTTTTGATCTTTTTATCAGTTCATTTCATTGAGATTAACTAATAAACATATCGCGTGGAAAACTTTTCTCCCTTTTGACATGCAGCAGATGTATCACTTTTGATTTGGGATAAGATACAGGCTTTAAATATTTCAGTGTCAAGGGAGATGAAGGGATTAAGTTATGATCATATACTATTCTGAGATCTTTATTGAATGCGTTGAGGTTGACTGAATCCTGTGTTTTGTTCCTTCATAATGGCATTCTTCACAGAGTGCTAAGCAAGATAAACTCTCAAGATATCCGGCAACCCCCAATTCTGGGATTGAGGGTATCAGACTTTTTTTATCTTAAGCATTAGACTCACATACGACCCTCGTTTACAACAGCCACGAGAGGGCGATGGCGTCACAAACATGAGGGCATTTAGCAGCCACGGGGCTGTTTGCAAGGTTTTCAGCGCCCAGCGCGGCATCCTGAACGTAGACGAGGCTTAAAAAAATATCTGTTGAAAGAAAGGTCATGATGGAGTCTCAGTGATAGCCCACTTTACAAACTCTGAAACAAGATTTGTTAAATTCAACCCACAGACAGGATTGTTAACTAAACAATGTTGTATCTTGGTGGCAACAGTGGCAAAGAACCGGCCTGCCAATGCAAGAGGCATAAGAGATGTGGGGTCCATCCCTGGGTCAGGAAGATCCCATGAAGGGGTACATAGCTACGGACTCCAGAGTTCTTGCTGGAGAATCCCACGGAGAGAGGAGCCTGGCGGGCTACAATCCATTGGGTCGCAAGGAGTCGGACACGACTTGAAGCAACTTAGTAGGCACACAATACCTTAAGTCGTTGGGAATCATGTATTAGGTTACCGTCGTTTACAGGAGAAAATGTCACTTCCGACATCCATTGGCATATAAACGATTCTCAGATTCACCTTTGCATCAAACTTTGTGGCTCAGACAGTAAAGTATCCATCTCCAATGCAGGAGACCCAGGTTCGATCCCCGCGCTGAGAAGATCCCCTGGAGAAGGAGCTTACCCACTCCAGCATTCTTGCCTGGAGAATCCAACGGACAGAGAAACCTGGGGGGCTACAGTCCATGGACCCCCGAAGAGTTGGACATGACTGAGGGACTGACACTTTCCACTTTTCATTTTAAATCTCTATCTTTATTATTTTCAATAATTTGAAGAGCTATTATAAGGTGAACACCCTTGTAACTGCCGCTCAGGTCCAGAAATTGACTTTACCAGACCATCACAGGTGCCCTTCCATACACCCTGTCATATGTCAACCTCCTCCTTCTCCCACAAAGCAACTGAGTTTCAGAGTCATTCCTCCTTGCCCTTCTTTAGAGCTTTATCACCTAAGTGTGCACCACAGCCTACATACTACAGCTTGGCTACCAGTTTTTGAAAACCTATTTAAGTCTCTTATAATAGCTATGCTCCCTCTCTGTTTCTTTATTTTTCCTTAATATTTAAGTGCTAAAAAATCCGGGGACTTGACCTTGCAGTGCGCCAGTCTGGATCTTGCTGATGGAACACTCTCGGCAGGTAAAGCATGTTCCCTGTACTCCCTGTCCCCTGAGCACTGGCTCCTGAAGCAGGAGGCGGATTGGGTTTCAGCAGGACTTGGACAAGGTTCTAGGTGCTGCGACGTTCTTTTATCAAATGACACATCTACCCACTTCTCCATGTGCCGTCTACAGCTGCACGTCCATGCTCAATGTCTTGTCCTGTTAATTCTCTTGGTGACCATATGGTAATATTCTAATTCAATCAATTACTTTTTATTTACTCCTTGAAAATGCTTTTAGAAAGAGATGATTCCTCTCAATTGACTCTTTGATCACACTTCTATATTCTTTGTTCCTTCCAACCACAGACTGCAACGAGAGGCCAGAAAATTGACATACCACTGAGAAATTATTCAAATAACAAAGCTGTTACTTCTTCCTGGATCTAACTTCTCAGTGGGAGGATCATACTGCCATCTTCCCACTCACACGTTCAATTTTGGTTTTCTGTTTATGTTCTTCAAATGCACTCAGCACAGTTCCCTGAGCATCTCAGTGTCTCATCAATTTCCTCTTTCATCACAGATGTTCTTGCCAGGTCCTTTCCATATATATTCAGCAAACTTTTGAATACCCCCTCTTCTGAGTGTCTAGCACTGGACTAGTCACTTGTCCCCATTCCTTCTGTGGTATTAAAAATGAGTGTTGGAGGAAAAAGTACATGGGCAAACATGCAGAACTAAGGATTGATGGAACACTGTGGGAAACTCAGGAGAGTCCCTGAGGCGTGACAGTCATTTCCGGCTTCACACAGCCACAGCGGTCATGGGTGCAGGGAGGCAGAGGGACATGTGCCCAGGAGCCACTCTCCACCAGGTTTCCCAGCTGTCCGGATCGCACACTGCAGGTGCAAGTGATGGGTCAGGCCCTACACCCCAGGCTAAGGGGACATTACATCCCTGTTCCTACTCCCTAAGGCAAGGAGCTTCTGCTTTTGCCTCCCAGCAGGGTGCAGACGTATTAAAGATTCTGGGCTTGAGTGGATAGGGTGACACTAGCCTATCACTGAACACTGTTATCTGAGATATATTGTTCAGGCTTTTATTTTTTAAATTGTAGCCACTTCTGGGAATCTGAGATAAACCCTGGAGCTTATCCATTGAAAAATACAAAAACCATGAAGACACTTTTCACACCCTCTTTCAAGATGTCACTAATTTCTGCAGCCTCATCAGGCCACAAAGCAATCATTCTTAACTTGCACTGCACACTGGGGCCACCTGGGAGATTTTAAAAATACTGATGCCTGGGCCCCACCCAATATATCTTCAGGGACAATTAGTAAGTTACATAATATTTTATGGACAACAAGAACCACTGTCTTTAAGAGCTAGCCTCCCAGCAACTCCAGTGAGAGAGGCTGACTCCACCAGACAAAACATCCACATTTTCCAAACCCATATTCCCCACTGGCAGGGAGCCGGGGAACGACAGTGCTCTCACTTGTGCCCCAGAATCTAAATAACAACAGTGTCATATTGATAGCAGCAAAGATTTTTAAGTGACTAATCACATTTTCAAGTGATGAAGAGTCTTCTGAGGGGAGATGTTGCTTGTCCATGTTTTTAGAGAGAACCAAGTAGACACACACCATTCTGAAGCTCTTTGAAAAATAAGGAAGCATCTTTACTCTCAACTGGAGGTGAGGCTTTTACACTGTTTTTAACAACACACAAGGAATGGGGATGAGTGACTAGCCCAGTGCATGATCCTCAGAAAAGGAGATTTTCAAGTGTCTGCTGAATATACATGGAGAGAGCCTGGCAAAAACATTTGTGATGAAAGAGGAAGCTGCTGAGACAGTGAGATGCTAGGGAAATTGTGAGCCTGTTTGAAGAACATAAAAAGGAAACCAAAATTATATATATGACTGGAAAGGTGGTAAATGATCCCCGTATTGAAAAGTAATCTCCAGGAAGGCTGGAATAATGTCTCTCTTCTTTTCCATCAAAGTGCACAGTGCCTGGAACATCACAGGCTAAGTACTGGTTGAATATATATATGAGCCAAGTTATCTAGTGCTCTTCCTACAAATTCTTTTATTTTGACAGATGAAAAGATATTTAAATTTTTAATCTTAAAATATTTCAAGTATAGAAAACAGGGTAACATGTACCTGGTGACTCCCCACCTAAACTTCATATGGGCTAACATTACTCTCTCAAATTTTTTTAATCTAACAGTGCCATGCTATGTCAGATAACCCTCAAAACTTCAGTAAAATACACATGTCTGAGACAACAGTGTCACTGTCCAAAATTCTGCAACCCAAGTTCAAAGTGAAGTAAAAAAAATAAAAAGTGATTCTGAAAGAGCTCCAAGGAAGAGTCCAAGATAAGCAAAGTCTAACCATATACATACACACATATATACATACACATACACATATATTTAGTGGAGTTTAGAGTGAAGAAAATGGTATTATGTCTTAGTAGTCAGGCTGGTAACTATCTGCACTGCTCTCTCCTTATGGGAAGTGGAGGAGGACTTGGAATTGTGTTTTCAGCCAAGCAGTTATTAAGTGCTCATGAAAATAAAAAATCTTGTCAGATGGGTTATTAAGTGGCTGCCTCCCTACTCTCCTGTCCAGCCCACTGTTTTCACCCCGAAAGTTCCCCTAAGGGGTATGGGCTTTCCCCACCCATAAGTTCTACGCTGACCCAGAAAAGTAATGAGTAGAATTGGGATCCGAAAACTTGAACAAATGCAGGGACCTGAACCCTTCAGCTTTTCAACCTCCCAGCCTCCAGGACCTTCACTGCCAGGATCTGTGCTAAGAAGCCACACCTTCTTGTCAACTGAAAGCTTGACAGACTGCTTCTGAATCTTAAGCCCAAGCTGACAGGGAGGCCAAAAATTAGTTCTAAAGAGTGTAAGAGGGAGCAGAATATGAAGGCAGAGTCCAGAAGTAAGATACCATCCCTAGAAATTAGGATCTTTGGGGACTTTGATTCATTTTAAATTCCTCAGGAGAGTCTTTCTGTTCATCCTGCCCATTCCATCTTCCCCTAATTATCCCTCCTCATAAGCCAGTCTGGAGAAAGCCACCTGTCTACACCATTTGGAGCCTTTCCATTGTCACCAACATAAATGAACACAACAGCCACAAGATGGTTCTAGGTCAGCAGAGTTCCTAGAAGGGGGAGAATACATTTCATCACAGGGACAGACCACCAAAGTTTTATGTGGTTGTTTAGATGAATTTTATATCTGCTTCTCAGATAAAGTTTCTACATTTGAAGCTGGGCTTTAAAAAGGAAGAACGATAGCATCTGCCTGCAGATGGAGCCAGGAAAATAATATATAGGAACTGATGCTGAGTGGAAAGTCATGCCAATGATATTAAACAACATGGATTTATAGCCCATTCATGGTGACACATTTGTTTATGATTTCAGTTAATTAAGACCACTTTGCTTCTTTTCTGCTACCACATGTAACCTTTAAAAACAAAAAGAAAAAATACATGCATGTACATATTTTGGAGGGATTCCAGACTTCAGCATGTAAATGCCAATGAGAAAGGAAAACACTGAATGCATATCCTGACGGGGTGATTGCACTTGTCAGAGGCTGCACTTACTATAATTATTCAGACTGTTGCTGGCGTCACAAAGAGAGGTACCATCACAGGAATCAAGGCAGGAACTGTAGAGGCATGTTTGGTCTCCTTCTTGACATAGAGTCTGACCTACAGAAGAGAGAAAGGCAGATCCACTCTCATCAGCATCCATAAGTAAATTCCAAGCACTAGCATCTGAAGGGTCCAGAACTGAGGAAGGACACAACTCTAATTTCCTTCCAGCGTCTCCAAAAATATCGAACACAAGCTGAGTAGGGACCTTCTGGATTAATTTTCCTGCAGCTAAAATACAACACTGTTATTCCAGAAGGACTCTGTAGGGATGAAAGAAACTAAGGGGCGACCCATCCTTTAAAAATAGGTTGTTATAGTTTTTAATGAAAAAGATAGCATCTTGTATTTGCACGGGTGCATATCGCTAGTGACAAAAGAAAATTCAAGTAATTTGAGGGAAGCGCCAATATTTTAAAGTCTCATTTGATCCCAGCTCTAGTCTTCCCTCTAAGGAAAATGCTCTCCTTAATAATAAGTAGGGCATCAACATCAATATAATAAGGGTACTTTGTTATGGCAGGATTGTAAGCAGCTGCTATCCATTTTGGTGTGCCTCTGGAAAGTAGCTCTGACCCAGCCACAATGACCTGAGAGTTAGGTTTCTTGTTTCCAAATGAATGACAACAGTGATGTCAGCCTAATGACTTTTCCTTAAGGTATGTGCAGAGAAAACTGCTTTTCCCATCGATTTCCTGGTCATTTGTAGATAAATGGAAAAGGTAATAAATTACTGCCCATTCTCTTTCTAGCTTGCCCCCATTATAGTCAATTATTTTTAGACACATCATCTGGACTCTACAATATCTTGCAAGGCATTTTTAAATATAAATAACAGTATCGGTATACATACAATCATTCTTACCTATAATTCTGACAATATTTATTATACTGGACTTTCTTATCTAGAATTCTAAGTTTTATCTACAATTTTACCTATAATTCTAAACATAATATCTAGTATACTGGACTCTCTCTCCCTTCTAGTACCATTAATGAACAACACTATATATCATAGTCTTGCAAAAAAGAGATATCACTCCCTTTTTTTCAATAGTTAGCAGATAAAAGTGGGTTTTTTTTTGCAAGGTAACTTAGGCTAAGTTCCATGAATATTAGTCTCTTTAAAAAAAATTTTATTCAGACAGAATAAAATAATAAAAATAAAAATAAAATAAATAAAAATAATTTATTCAGACAGCATGCATTCATTATTTGAGCCAATATTAAGTGCTTGCTATATGACAACTTAGTTTGCCAGCAAGGCATTGAGCATTAAAAGATAAAGTCTGATGGTTTCGACTCTAATTAGGGATATCTTCATGAACGGAATCTTATAATACCATGCGATCATTGCTCTCTGAAGGTACATGTAAAAAGCAGTAAAAGCAAATCAGGGCAGTAAGAAGAAAGCTTCTCATGGGAGTTTTTAGGCAGGTGGGATAAGCTGGCATAGAGGGAAGGAGGGGTCTCCCAAGCCAACTGCAGGATGTCTCAAGGGCTACTGGACAGGAAGGCTGAGGGTGGGGCTGAGGGCTGTAAAGGCCTCTGTCTAGAAGAGGGCTCCGAGCCCTCGGAGCAGCCACCCCGGCCTCCTCCCAGCCTCGTGGCTACTGCCGCCAGAGCCTCTGCTGTGTTGGAACTCGCTGCCCCTCACCCTCAGCTCTCTGACGGCAATGGCGCTCTCCCACTCCTCTGTGCCACCTTGCTCTTTCCACCTTGGGGCCTTTGGACAAGGCGGTTCCCTGTGTCTGAAATGCTTTCTCCAGTCCCACTCTCCTTTGCTAGTTCCATTCATTCTTCAGATAGTAGCTCTAATACCTCCTCCTCAGGGCAGCTTCCCAGAAGCCCTTTACTAGGACATGCTTCCATAGCAACACATCCTAGCACCTTGAATTTCCCTCCTGGCCCGCATCCCTCCTGGTTACCAGACCTACTGTTTCCTGCCTATCTTCCCCAGAAGCCTGCCAGCCCCATAAACTGTTCTGCTTGCCACTGAGTTCCCAGCACTACAATGTACTTTTAGTATGTTGAATTTAGTAGAGTGAATAATCTAAATTCACTACAATTTTACTTTCCTTTCTTTACATTTCCATTTTATCATGTGACTTTTCTTAAATCTCACAGACGTTAAGAAATACTGGCAAATCCTGCCACTGCATAGTAAATAATACAAGATTATTTCAAACAGCATTGAATTATGTAGAAAGAAATAACTATTTAATCAAAAGGGAGCCTCTTGGCTGATATGGAATAACTCAAGGCCAGAAAAGAATTTCCTTCTGAATTTTCAAAACTGGTAAAACAAAGCTATCCTTATCTAGTTTTTTATGGAATAAATCAGTGATTAAAAGGCTCTCTCTTTTGGTCTACAATGCATTCTCATTAAAACTATTCTAATATCAATATTCATTATGGCAAATCTAATTTAGTGACAGGTGACCAATCTCATTAGCTGATGTGGGATACACACAGCCTAGACAGCCTTTCAGGTACCAGCCACAGAAAATAGCTTACATTTACATTTATAGAGTATTCAACATGTCATCTCTATGAAGCAGTTATCATTACTCTGAGATTACAGACACAGAAACTGAAGTAACCGGGTTGAATCACTGGCCTGAAGTCAACCAGGGAGTAAGTGGGAGCTGCGGTCTGAACCCAGGCGGCTGGGCGGCAACCTCCACATTCCTAACAACAAGGCTACGTTAGTAAGATGCAAGTAAGACTTACAGACAAACATAGTGGTTTTTAAGTCAAAAGATATTACTAGCCCTGTACTGAGAGATCTACACAAACTGAGGCTTAAGACAATCAGGGTAGAGCTTTCTTTTCCAACAGAAAACCAATTTATTTGATTTACTTTTTCTTTGGGGGCTTCACAGATAATAACAGACAGCTTTTAAAGTGTGTTCAAGCATATTGCTTGGCAATGGGAGGCATTAAATGGCTTCTCCGCACATGGTTATTTTTGGAAGCCATTACATTTAATTTCAGAAGCCACTTCCGACTGGAATCTAATTGAATTGAAGAGTATGTGCTACACTCTTCTCTTTATTGTAGTGTTTCCCCATAAAACAGCTAACTGAATCTACCTGTGCTGTTTAAGTGTTTAACCACTATTTTGCACCCTTAGGAATGAGTTTTCAGTGTAAGTTGCATGAAACTTTTATTTACCACAAAAAAGGTTTCTGGCTGACTGGAACTGTGGGGACCAGTTCATTAGGCAATCTGAAATTATTTATGTAGGAATCCTTTAAGCACTAGATAACTTCCAACATTTTGTTTTGCTCCCAAGGAAAGACCTGCTGGTAAGGACTATTTCTGGGGTTGGAGCACACACTTACCATCACTACAACTCTCCTCATCACTTCTGTCCAGTGCAATCCACTGGAAAGTACTGGGGATGCACTGTCCATTTCTGCATTCTACCAGACCCTGGCTGTGACGCACTAGGGAACACCAAAATAACATGCATTTTAATTATCTGTATTTCTTTCGGTGTGCGGATCATATCCATGATTCCTGTTTATCTGGCATCACCAAGAAATGAAGTGTTCTAAACATCTGAATGTTCTGCCCAAATGAATGAATGTGTCATTAAGTTTTTTCATCCCAAGTGTTCTTGGAATGCAAGGTTTTCTTTCTGGAATTTCTCTTACCCTATTAAGTAGAACTTACTTAAAACTAACTTTTTCTAGATCACTGCATAAATGAAACTAGTATTAACGATGGTAGTAGTTATACTGGGCTTCCCAGGTGGCTCAGTGGTAAAGGATCTGCCTGCAATGCAGGAGATGCGGGTTCAATCCCTGGGTCAGGAAGATCCCCTGGAGAAAGAAATGACACTCCACTCGAGAATTCTTGCCTGGGAAATCCCATGGACAGAGGAGCCTGGCAGGCTACAGTGCATGGAGTCACAAAAGAATTGGATGTTACTTACCAACTAAACAACAAGCAGTTATACTAATGATATAAAAACTACAATTTATTAAAGGTTTACTACATGGCAATAGCTGTGCTAGGAGTATTACATATCTAATTTCAAATCCTCATAACAAATTTTTAAAGTGCCACCTCATGCAAAGAGTTGACTCATTGGAAAAGACCCTGATGCTGGCAGGGATTGGGGGCAGGAGGAGAAGGGGACGACAGAGGATGAGATGGCTGATGGCATCACTGACTCGATAGACATGAGTGTGAGTAAACTCCGGGAGTTAGTGATGGACAGGGAGGCCTGGTGTGCTGCGATTCATGGGCTAGCAGAGTTGGACGCGACTGAGCGACTGAACTGAACTGAAAGTGCATATTATCAACCTAGTTTAGGATAAAGAAACTGAAGCTTAGAGACTTTAGCATGTGTGTCATACTCAAGGCTGTTGAAAAGTAGGGCCAGAACATGGAAATAAGATTTTCTAACCCTAAGCCCCAGCATTTCACTCTGCACCAACCTGACCTAGTGCACCAATGAAATGCATAATACCTACCCCACAATAAACACTTTATTTCAAAATTTGCTTATGACATCTGATATTTAAAAGGATAATCTAGTGACCACTAACCTTCCAAGAACTGGTTGTCTTAATCTATACCTATTGTCTTTTAAAGCATCAGAAACCCATGTATCATGTGACCTCAGGCTTCACAGTTAACTGTCTACGTACACACATGAGCACCATGTTCTTGCTTTTTCAAGATCCATCAAAATACAGCCCACTCTGTTCCACAATGTCCACTCAGTCAGGACTCAGATGATACTGCAGTTCAAATATAATTCAGGAAAGAGGAAAGCTGGGCATAATGTTTGCTAATTAATTTAAATGGGTTTTCTTATGTCAAAATAAAAACCATGCAACCTACATTTCTCTTTTTGCCTTAAATTACAGGCAAATTAAACAGTCTATCTCATATGTAGCCACTGTTTCTACTTTTATTAGACCATAAAAGATGGAATAAAAAGTTTAATTAGCTTGAATATGCATAAAATGCACCATATTAACTCTTTCAGGTCAACATTACCCTTCTTTAGCTTCTATTTAATCGTTTTATTATTCCCTATCGAGTATAATATACTTTCTAGGGAAAAAATGTGGCAAGCCATACTCGATTTTATTAGGTAGTGTAACAGCTACCTGAAGACTCTTTTAAAAAACAAACAATTGAAGTATAGTTGATTTATAATATTATGTTAGTTTCAGGTATATAGCACAGTGATTCAGTTATACATATATATATCCATGTATATGTACCTATTCCTACTGGTTACTACAAAATATTAAGTATAGTTCACCATGCTATACAGTAGACCTTGTTGTTTATCTGTTTTGTATACAGCAGTACGTCTATGTTAATGCCAGAGTCCTAGTTTATTTTCCCTTTGCTTTCCCCTTTGGTGACATGAATTTGCTTCCTGTGTCTCTGTGAGCCTGCCTCTGTTTGGCAAATAAGTTCGTTTGTGTAATTTTTAGATTCCACATATAAGTGAGGTCATACGCTACCTGTCCACCTCTGTCCAGCCCCCTTCACTTAGTGTGACAACCCACAGGCCCACCCACATCGCTGCAAATGGCATTATCTCATCATTGTTTATGGCTGAGCGACACCCTACAGCATACACAGACCACATCTTCTTATCCATTCATCTGTCAAGGAACATTTAGGTTGCTTCCACCTCTGTTACTGTAAATAGTGCTGCTCTGACTATATGGGTGCATGTACCCTTTTGAATTTTGGTTTTCTCCAGATATACTCACCAGAAATGAGCCAGGCTCTGCAGTAATAATGTCATCACACACTCTGTAACTCCATCAGCCCTGAAGGCTCTCTTCTCTGTCAGTTCCCCCTATGCCCTCTCACAAATGCTGCCTGTGAGCACGTGTGGAGGCTCTTGCTTAACTGCTAATGTATTGTTTGCAGACAGAAAGTTCCCTGTCTCTGGAAAGAATATCTGCTTTGACAAAGTCACAAAAGAAGATGTGTGGGTAATGAGAGAGAAAACAGCCACCTGCTCGGCCAGAGTGGCCAAGTCAGGCTTTGAGTTTTGGAGAGAGGAATTCAGACATCAGTCACACTATACTGTTCTTGTCATCATACCATCCAATTGTCATCTGTATGGGCCAGGGCCAAAGTGTAAGACTTTGTTTAGATAGTAAACCGTGAGTGTATTTGACTAAACAGACAGAAGTGGGAAAATGAGCAAGATGGGAACCTTCAGGGCACTCACAGCAGTTAACTTCATCGGATTTATCCGCGCAGTCGTGGTCCCCATCACACACCCACTCGATGGCAATGCAGCGCCCGTCTCCACAGCGATGCTCCTCTGTGGGGTTGCAGTCTGGAGGAAGCAAGCGATCAGGGATGGAGAGAACCAACACGACAAACACTCGGGGTGTAGGGCTTGTGGTGCCAGTACAAGTTAGAGAGTTCTTCTGTCACTAATAACACACTACCAAAAATTTGAGAGCTAATCACAAAGTCAAAATGGTAAACAAGCAAGAAGAATTCAGCTGGTTTTATTAATAATTCAGGAGAGGACATTCAGAATTAAACACAGTTCTTTAAAATGTGGTGGCTCAGTGGTAAATCCGTCTGCTAATGCAGGAGACGTGGGTTCAATCCTTGGGTTGGGGATCCAGATCCCCTGGAGAAGGAAACTGCAACCCACTCCAGTTTTCTTGTCTGGGAAACCCATAGACAGAGGAGCCTGGACGGCTACAGTTTATAGGGTCACAAGAGAGTCAGACATGACTTAGCAACTAAGCAACAACTTTAAAAGTTTCATTCCTCTTTTTAACTGAGGTACAATTGACATAAAATGTTGTACAAATGTATGCTAAGTGAGATAAGTAAGAAAGAGAAAAATACTGTATATCACATGTGGAAAAAAGCTGAATTTGTACAATGTATAGACAAGTGGCTAGCAGGGGCTGGTGTGGGCTGTTGGAAAGATGCTGTTTACAGGTACAAACGTGCAACCAGTAGGTGGATTCCTTCAGTAAAAGATAAGACGGGTTTTTGAATGTAAAACAAACCATTGATGTCTCCACTACAGAAGTGGCCATGTAGGGCATGGCCATCAAATACAGGAGAGGTCTTTGGTTATATATAACAAGAGGATCAAGAGCTGCAAGCAGTTTTGCTTAAAAGCTCAAAATCTAACCATGAGCCACTGACTCCAACCAGAGAAGAAACAAACAGTTTCAAAGAGACAAAAACATGTTAACTCCTATTTCCATTCCACTTCTTTAACGTTTCCTCAGTATGACTTTACCCAAGAAATATTACATTTACACATAAGACATGACAGACTAGAAAAAGCCTCCTCTTCCTGAAAATTAAGAAACCAATCACTTTGTAATTTAACTCATTAACCACACTAACAAACAATGAACTACAAGATTCTGATTATAAGTTTCTATAATTTTAAATGTAAACCTTTAGGGAAGTAATGTTACTTACCACAGTTTTGTTCATCACTCAGATCTCCACAGTCATCATATCCATCACACACCAGGCTATAATTAAGGCACTTGCCTGTGTGACAGCGAAACAGGTTCTCGCTGCAATCTGGGGGAAAAAACAAGAAACAGAAGCCACTGGTGGGCCATCAGAGCAGAAGAGGGTGTTGCAGCAGCAGCAGCTTCTGTTGTAGCAGAAGCGCGCCATGGGGCGGCGAGGGCGGGGCGGGGCTCAGAGTGGGGACCGGCCCCCATCTACCGCTTCACAGGCGAGGAGACTGGTGCAGAGGAGCCACCGACTTGTTCAAGGCACATAGCAAGTTCCTGGAGAACCAAGATGAGGACCCACTGGCCCCCAAGCCAATGCTCTTATCACTCCCCGAAAACACCCACGTTCCACTCTGTGTCACTTGAAAGCTTCCTTATAGCCGAATATGAGAAGAGACATTCTCAACCCACCATAGTTTCTAGTGAAGTTCACTTTCATATGGAATGAACACTTCATAGACAGTGAGTAGTTATTTCTTAAAAATGTTTACTTTAAAATGAAAGTCTAGTTTCATCAATGGTAAACATGGACATAACAAAGAGAAAAAGTCATTTACATTAGAGTCGTTACTCACACAACTTTACCACTTAAGTCATTTGAATGTTTCATAGCATGACCCTCAGATAAGCAGTACTGTCCTAGATTATGATGCCAAGATAAGAAAAAGTGATGTAACCCTGATTGCCAAATTCAGACTTAAATTGAAGAAAGTGGGGAAAACCACTAGACCATTCAGATGTGACCTAAATCAAATCCCTTATGACTATGCAGTAGAAGTGAGAAATAGAGTTAAGTGACTAGATCTGATAGACAGAGTGCCTGATGAACTGTGGACGGAGGTTCATGACATTGTATAGGAGACAGAGGGCCAGACCATCCCCAAGAAAAAGAAATACAAAAAAGCAAAATGGCTGTCTGAGGAGGCCTTACAAATAGCTGTGAAAAGAAGAGAAGTGAAAAGCAAAGGAAAAAAGGAAAGATATACCCATTTGAATGCAGAGTTCCAGAGAATAGCAAGGAGAGATAAGAAAGCCTTCCTCAGTGATCAGTGCAAAGAAATAAAGGAAAACAACAGAATGGGAAAGACTAGAGGTCTCTTCAAGAAAATTAGAGATAGCAAGGGAACATTTCATGCAAAGATGGGTTCAATAAAGGACAGAAATGGTATGGACCTAACAGAAGCAGAAGATATTAAGAAGAGGTGGCAAGAATACACAGAAGAACTGTACAAAAAAGATCTCCATGACCCAGATATCATGATGGTGTGATCACTTACCTAGAGCCAGACATCCTGGAATGTGAAGTCAAGTGGGCCTTAGGAAGAAACACCACTACGAACAAAGCTAGTGGAGGTGATGGAATTCCAGTTGAGCTATTTCAAATCTTGAAAGATGATGCTGTGAAAGTGCCACACTCAATATGTCAGCAAATTTGGAAAACTCAGCAGCAGCCACAGGACTGGAAAAGGCCAGTTTTCATTCCAATCAAGAAAGGCAATGCCAAAGAATGCTCAAACTACCGCACAACTGCACTCATCTCACGCGCTAGTAAAGTAATGCTCAAAATTCTCCAAGCCAGGCTTCAGTAATACATGAACCATGAACTTCTAGATGTTCAATCTGGTTTTAGAAAAGGCAAAGGAATCAGAGATCAAAATGCCAACATCTGCTGGATCATCAGAAAGGCAAGAGAGTTCCAGAAAAACATCTATTTCTGCTTTATTGATTATGCCAAAGCCTTTGACTGTGTGGTTCACAATAAACTGGGGAAAATCCTGAAAGAGATGGGAATACCAGACCACCTGACCTGCCTCTTGAGAAACTGATATACAGGTCAGGAAGCAACAGTTAGAACTGGACATGGAACAAGAGACTGGTTCCAAATAGGAAAAGATATACGTCAAGGCTGTATATTGTCACCCTGCTTATTTAACTTATATGCAGAGTACGTCATGAGAAACGTTGGGCTGGATGAAGCACAAGCTGGAATCAAGATTGCTGGGAGAAATACCAACAACCTCAGATAAACAGATGACACCACCCTCATGGCAGAAAGTGAAGAAGAACTAAAGAGCCTCTTGATGAAAGTGAAAGAGGAGAGTGAAAAAGTTGGCTTAAAGCTCAACATTCAGAAAACTAAGATCATGGCATCTGGTCCCATCATTTCATGGCAAATAGATGTGGAAACAGTGGAAACAGTGGCTGACTTTATTTTTTTGGGCTTCAAAATCACTGCAGATCGTGACTGCAGTCATGAAGTTAAAAGGCGCTTGCTCCTTAGAAGGAAAGTTATGACCAACCTAGACAGCATATTAAAAAGCAGAGATATTACTTTGTCAACAAAGGTCCATCTAATCAAAGGTCTGGTTTTTCCAGTGGTCATGTATGGATGTTGGACTGTAAAGAAAGCTGAACACGGAAGAATTGATGCTTCTGAACTGTGGTATTGGACAAGACTCTTTTTTTTTTTTGAGAAGACTCTTGAGAGTCCCTTGGACTGCAAGGAGATCCAACCAGTCCATCGTAAAGGAGATCAGTCCTGGGTGTTCATTGGAAGGACTGATGTTGAAGCTGAAACTCCAATACCTTGGCCACCTGATGCGAAGAGCTGACTCATTTGAAAAGACCCTGATGCTGGGGAAGATTGAGGGCAGGAGAAGGGACGACAGAGGATGAGATTGTTGGATGGCATCACCAACACAATGTACATGAGTTTGAGTAAACTCCAGGAGTTGGTGATGGACAGGGAGGCCTGGCATGCTGTGGTCCATGGGGTTGCAAAGAGTCGTACATGACTGAGTGACTGAACTGCACTGAACTGAAACTCAAGAAGCTTACAGTTTGATGTTGGAATAAACATCATGGAAAGAAATTTTAATAAGAAGATAGGTCTTGTTCTTGAGTAAACCAGAACTCCTATTCTAGTTCTTCCATCTATCAGCTATGATGTTGAGTATATTAGTTAAAATTTATGTCTGTAAACTTAATTATGAAATTATGATAAGCACAACTACTTAATAGAGGAAGACATAAATAATAACATATGTAAGATCCAAGGCAACTCAATTGGAAAAGAATACTCTTCAACAAATGGTGTGGGGACAACTGGATTTCAAGTATGCAAAGTTGAACTCTGACCTTTATCTCAAACCATATCAAAAAATCTCAAAGTGGATTATAGATTTCAATGTAAGAGCTAAAATTATGAAGCTTCTAGAAAAAAAATAAGAAAAAAGTCTTTCTGATGGGGAGTGGCAAAGAATTCTTGGATATGATCATAAAAGCACAAACCTAAAAAATAATAAGTGATATTCTTTAAAATTAAAAGGAGCTTCCTGGTTAGTAAAGAATCTGGTTACAATGCAGAAAACCTGAGTTTGATTCCTGGGTCAGGAAGATCCCCTGGAGAAGGGAATGGCTACCCACTCCAGTATTCTTGCCTGGAGAATCTCATGGACAGATTCTTGTGGGCTGTTATAGTCCATGGGGTAGCAAAGAGTCAGACACGACTGAGCAACTAAACACTTCCACTTTAAAAATTAAAAACATTTGTGCTTCCAAAGACGCTATTTTAAAGATGAAAAGACAAGTCATGTGCTGAGAAAAAAAATATTTTCAAAGAATGTGTCTGATAAAGGACTTATATCCAGAATATACATAGATGTCTTACACTCAATAATAAGACAAACCACCCAATTACAAACAGACAAAAGAACCTGAATAGAAAGTCTTCATGAAGGATATACAAATGGCTGATAAGCACATGAAAAGGTGCTCAATGTAATTAACCATTAAGGAAATGGAAATAAAACCACAATAAGATACTATTATATTTCCCCTAAAATAGCTATAATGGATAAGACAGACAATATCAAGTATTAACAAGGATTCTGAGAAATTGAAACCCTCATATGCAGTTGGTGGGGGTCTAAAATAATAATGCCACATTGGAGAGCAGTTTGACAGCTTCTTATAAGCTTAACTATGACTTTATGACATTCATGAGTTCCACTCTCAGAAATCTACCCAAGAGAAGTGAAACATATACTCACACAAAGACTGCCAAGTGAATGTTTATCACAGTTTTATTCACAATTGCCAAAGCCTAGAAATATTCCAAATGCTCAACAACTGGCAAATGTACAAGCAAAATATAGTATATTCATACAATGGGATACTATTCAGCAATTAAAAGTATCAAACTACTGATGCATGTGACAGGATCGAAGAAGCTCAGATACATTTTGCTAAGTGAAAGAAACCAAATACAAAAACTACATACTGTGTGACCCATTTATAAACTTTCTGGAAAAGGCAAACTTACAGACACAGATGTGGCTGTGGCTTGAGATGTGGGAGTGAGGACTGAATACAGATAAATAGGAGGGAAATGTGGGGAAAGATGGGAAAGTTCTAGAAGTGGATCACGGTGAGGGTTTCACAATCCTATAAATTTACTAAATAACTTTACAGTGTATAAGTTATACCTCAATAAGGTAAAAATATTTACATGTAAAGGCTGTAGTTAGTAGCAACTAGATTTCTTAAATGTATTAGGTTGGTCAAAAGTTCATTCAGGTTTTTTTGTAAGATGTCATTGGAAAATCCAAATGAACTTTTGGCCAACCCAATATTATCTTTTCCCTTAGAGTGAATTAAGTTCAAAAACAGATTCTTAAGGCTGGAGAGGGATGATGGAAGATGTGCAGAATTTTAGTTGAGTGGATATAATGAAAATTTCAGCATGTTTCAAGTAGAAGGAATAGCAACAACAAAGGAAAGAAGTGAGAAATAAAGTCACATATGAGGATCAGTCTGCTTGACTGATAAAGATCAAGAATCTAATGGTAACATCCCAGCCTCCTGAATTCCAGCTGATTGTTTCTCCTGAAGCAAAAGTCTGCCTCTCATACAATTGGTGATGGGTACTTCTTTACCATGGGGCTTCCCAGGTGGCATTAGTGGTAAAGAACCTGCCTGCCAATGAAGGAGATGTAAGAGACATGGGTTCGATCCCTGGGTCAGGAAGATACCCTGGAGGATGGCATGGCAACCCACTTC